ACCACTAGTCAGGAAAAAGCAAAAAGAAGAATCCATTCCCAGCCGATCGGAACCCTCAACCCCGCACAGACCACCAAGCAAAAAAAGAAGCTTCTGTGGGTCCTATTTTCTCTCCTCCTCGCCCGGAATAGGCTTAGTCGACTTTGGACCCTTCATGCGATCCCCCACTTCCCAGGTTGGAGGGGGAGTTCCTATTTGGGTGCTAGCGCACCCCACTCGCAGCGAGAGTTTGTTCGTACGACGCACACGCTGCCTGCTCATTGGGTTCCGGTTGTCTGGGGGAGTTGATGTGTAAGGGGTTGGTCATTGGCCTGGATTTTTCTTTTCTTTTTTTTACACGTTCTGGATGTGGCTGGCTGGTCTATGGTCCATTGGCGTGCTCGATGTGCGTTTGTTAGTACTAGTAGGGGAAGGAGGACACGGTCGACGGATGAGAGACTGCCATGTTCTCCGCTGCCATTGGGGAATTCAATTTTTGCAGGGCAGCTTGCCGTGCTGCTCCGGAGGTACTTACTTCTTCTTCTTCTTCTTCTACAGTACCTAGTAGAATAAGCTGGCTGCTTTGGCTACTGTCGCTGATTCGTGAGGTCGCTACTGAAACTATATCTGGGAAAATTCAAATCGACTCAAAGTTGCTTCTGCTGTTATCCACTATACCATCCGGGGATTTTGGACGGTTGGCGATCGACACTCTCTTCCATACTTCGGGCGGGGGGGGAGGTGCGTCGGCCTTTGCCTGTCTAACTTACTTTTTTTTGCTGATCTCCACTGTAATCTCCTAAAAAAGTAAACGTTAATCATGTACCCTGTCCCCAGACCCCATAACCGACTATGTAGCGCGAGGTAACGTGCAGTAGAGGAGAATCCTTTCTGCATCTACACAAAACCCTCCACTTACAACGTTTCCTGCTCACTCCGTCGTTACGCTATGCAACTCGGCTAAGTTCGCGTGCCCACTTGCCTCCCCGGATGGTAGTGAGTGTGTGTGTGTGTGTGTGTGTGTGTGTATATGTATACACACAGTATCCAGTATGCTATCCCTGTCCCTCTCAATTCCAAATCAGATTAATAGACCCGTGGGTATTGTTACAGGGTAGTAGTAGGTAAATCCCACCATTGGATGATAGTAGTAGCTAGTACGTACTAGTTTCGTTGCTCCCAGCAAAGTCCCTAACTATAGCTAAGCTAACCATAACCATAACCACCACCACCCCATCCAAGGATCACCAATACAGAATCAACAACCTCCCTGAACCCAAACAAACAAAAAGACCTCATCTAGACATTGCGATCCGGGGTCGTCGTCCATAGAGGGCAGGAGGGTTTATTCTCCGTCGTCGGTTGGGTTTTTTCTTTTCTATGTTTGCGGGGTTGGAGATTTAGAGTGAAGAAGGCTGGCTGCATGCGTGCTCTGGCAGGGAAGGTACTTGACTGGGTTTGTTTGGAGGTGCTTTTTTTTGTTTCCTTGGTTACTTAGTACTGTTTGGGCGTGACGGGAGAGGAGGGACTAGTACTTCTTTTGTGTTGTGGGGGGAAAAAAGACGATGCTGGTAAGTTGTCTAGGAAATGCTTAGGAGTCCTGCGATGTTGGTGTTCCGTTTCTACTGCGTTGGCTGTGGATGGCGGTTTTTGCTCGGGATTTGGTTTGAATACATTGTAGGGCTGTGGCAGGCTGGCGAGGTCGATCTTTGCTGTCTACAGGGTAGCAGTTGTACTAAATAGCAGAAGCGATGCTGATCCGGGCAAGAACTACATGGGGATCGACTTATCAAGGACCATCTTTTGGTGCCCCAAATTTCCGCGAGCGCGGACAACAACAACACAACAACAACCACCCCGCAGACCAACACGAGCAAGCAGCATCCCCCAAGTCAAAACAAAAACAAGAGAGGTAAAAAAAAAAGTTCTTCAAAATAGAGCTAGCTAGCTATTACTCCGGTCCACACACACGCACACACGCCCCTCCTACCCCCCACAGTAACATTAGCCCGAAACAGAAACACATTGCGAATCGCCAGTCCATGGCTCCAGCATCACTTTGCCACTTCCCCAGGCCACTTAGATCTCTCTGCGGGCATGTTTGGTTGTCCGGCTGGGTGGGGATATTTACGCCGCACGGTCGTCCAGATGAGAGATTGGGTTTCAGGGTGGAGTTATCTCGGTTTTTGTCATTCGGCTGTTGATTCGCTTGAGCCAGGCTGGGACCTTGGGAAATGGAGTGGGTTAGGTCGTGCTCTGATATACTGGGGCGACGCGAGGGCTAATGGAGACGGGACTTACTGTTTGGGGGATCGGTGGGTGGAGGTTTTCAGATCTGGAATCCATGGTATCAGACGGATGGTGCAATCTGATTGGGGTGTGGAGGGAGCATGCTTGACGTTTGGGAACCTTTCGGGTTGGCCGATTCTTGCCGATCATTCTGTGCATGGTTGAGTCAGGTTGGAATGGGTAGAGTCGGACATTGAGTCGTTAGGATTCATCTTATGGTCTGCACGGTGGATCGCCGGATGTGTGTGTGTTTGCATAGGTATGGATCTGTTCTTGAATTTGGAGTTTCTTCTAACTCAATGCACTAGCCCTACTCCGTACGTACGCCGGAAAAACCACTTCGGGAAATTGATGAGGCATTTAGTAAAGGGTCTGGAAAGAACGAATGTGGTGGTGGATGTGCCTTTTTCCTAGCCCCGATCGACCGGGTGCTACCGGCTGAATAACTCCCGACCTATCTCCCCGCTGCGTCGCACGCTGAGGCTCGAACTGCTGCTGCGTCGCCGGCGACTACGGCTTTCGGCGGGATCAGCCGGGCTTAGCCCGCTGGCCCGCGCGTGCAGATTCAATATATCGGTAAGGCTGACCACTCCTACCAATCGTCCGGAAAGCCGTGCCCCCGGAAGAGCGGAAGCTGGGATGGACGGCGCAACGGCGTGTGACAGCCCCGTGGACGCCGCGGACATATACGGCTGAGAGGGCTGTGCGCTGGCGCTACCGGGAGTAGGTGAGGGAGGCGAATGCGTGTTCCCTGAGTTAGTAGGCAGAGGGAGATGCACGGCCGAGTGGGATGGAGTGGGTGGTCCCGACGAGGAAGGCGACAACGGATCGGTGATCCATAGTCTATTTCAGTCAATTGACAAGAGCTAGCTTCGTAGGGACAAGGTAGCAGACTCACCGGTGGGATCTAGTGGCTACCACCTTCGCAACGGTATGAGCCAACGTCGAGCCTGGATTCACATGAAACACTGGGAAAGAATCCTTGCCATCCACTAAACCCCGTGTGGAAAGAATCACGGAGATGAAATGAGTACATGTATTGTGGAGGAGTGGAAGCGACGATGAGCGCGTCAAGAGCTGTTCGTTCGATTAGCCCTACTGTCTCTTCGCCAGCCATGTCTGGTTCATACCTTAACATCCGTCAGGGATATATTGCCCACCACGTTGGTATGGTTATCCACCACAGCGACCGACGTGATGCCCTCGTTGTTCATGAGATGCAGAGCCTCCGATAGAGGCTTGTCTCCGCTATACGCAGGTTAGACTAGCTAACTGCACATCGAGGACGTAGACCTACTTGATGGAGATCACCTCCAGAGATCCTATCTTCAAATCCCGCAGTGACTGCGGATACAGCTGATCAATCACAGGAAAGCTGCGCCCATTTTCCCATAGGAACTTGACCAGTCGGAATTGGCTGAAGATGCCCACTACCTCATTTTGTTTACGCTCGTCGACCACAACCACTCGATGAACGCCTCCCCCGAACGTCTCTACAGCTGCCATCACGCTTGCCGACGCCGGAAGCGTCGTCAATGGTTCTTTCCTGCCGAGGTCCTTTACATCTTTCAATGGTATCTTGATTCCTTCCTTGGCCTTTCGGGCCAATGCATCATAAGAAGCACGGGTATTCTCGTCGGGCTGGGTCAGGCCCGCAGCGAGGAGAAGGTACGCATTTAAATCCGAGTAATCGAAAGTGCCGACAGCAGTCTTGTGTTCCGGAGTCTCGCGAATCAAAAGTACAGGAGCATCGGAATCAATCAGGACCTAGTTGCTGTCAAACCTCGATCCCACTTCTTTACTCTCCCACTCATGTATCGCAACTCACATTAGTCGCATCCTCAATGCCCGTATCGATCTCCACAAACCTCAAATCCGTCGGGCTAACCAGCTCTCCGATCGAAATTTCTCTCCAGTCGCGACCTACAAAGGCAGGGTTTACATGGTTGGGAGCCGGCGGGTTGTCGATCAGACTCTGAATTGCAGCCTGTGTGAGGGACGGCTGTCGACGGCTACGTGGGGAATTTGGAGCCCCGCGCAGACTTTCACTGAGGCTGTGACGGTGCTGATGGTTGGGAGAGACGTGCGAGAGTCGTAGCGACTGACTGCGCGTCGATGGAGAGCGAGAATCCGTGCTGGATCGAGGAGATGCAATGTTCGACCCGCTGGAATTGTCGGCAACCGGTTCACCTGGCTGGTGGTCGGTCATGGTTGAACCAGGCGATGGCGTTCCAGAAAGTTCCCCTGAGACGCTGACTGTGTCGAACGAGAAGTTTGGGTTTGGATGATGGGTGAGTTCGCTAGCGTGGCATGCGGTATATTCAGGTATAAATCACATATACAGAATCAAACTACTTGATCAGGTTATCCGCACAGCTATCGCAGTTGCGAGAGCATGATCGATGCCAATCACGGGGTTGCGGGGAATTGACGATGTTTGGTTGGCGGGCGGCGGTGGCCAATCAGCGTCAGGTGGCCATGGCGTCATAACACCATGCGAACAATGCCTCTGTTACTCGTAGCTACTAGTACTAGTTACTTCATCGCCTCCCCGTTCATGGATTTTCTCCTGCGTATACAACAGTACTGCGCAGTACATCCCCCTATGGATACAGTATTTTCCCACAGCGACAAACAATAGCCAATCATTGTGACCTGTGCCAGTACCTCCTGCAGTGACGTCTAGCACATAAAGCCCATTTCTGGCTTCCCACACTCCTGCAGCCGCTCACTTAGAGGAAATTCCCCAAGATTTCTCCGAGGTCCTTGGCTTTGCGGTCTCTCATCACGGCCCTTTTCGGCCCCGACCGTCTCTGTGGTTCACCGGCGGCCGAGACCTCTTCTTTAGGCCTTTTCGCCGGTATATGTAGCGCCAGGTTCTCGGTGGGTATCCGATTTGCCGCTCTCGTGCGGTTTAAATATAGAGTTTTTGCCTTTGTGGGAACTCTCTTGGATTCTTGGTCAGTCTGGCCTATCTGGAAATCGAGAATCGGGCTCCCCTGGTCCATCATAACCGGTGGTTCTCCGTCCAGGCTAGCTTGGTATAATTCGTAGAGTGCTGGTGGCTTATCATGACCTGGTCGAGACTCCCATCCGTCTATCTCCAAGCCATCAGTAAACATGGAGTGGATACCTGGACAGCCATACGCAACAATGACTTGCAAGGATGGGAAGGCGCGCAGATAACGCAATACAACACCCGACAAGTCCTGATGACATAATTTGAGAACCCGAAGGTGTGCGAATGCGCCCGAAGTCTGCGCCAGCTCGCTCCAACTTCGGATGATCCGATCACTCAACGCCGTCACAGGCATCTCCGTAGCGTCTGCAGGGGTTGTTTCAGCCCGCCGAGGCGTGGCAACTTCCAACGCAGCAAGGTTTCGGATGCTAGATATGCCCACTAGCTCAGGCACTCTGGCGAACGAAGTAGCCAAATTTAGGACCACCTGCCATTTCAGGGAATCGCTCTTCACCAGCTCCAGATAGTCTCGCATAGCCAGTCTAGGCCCTTCTATCTTCATTGATCGATATTGGGAGATCTGCCGGAATTCTACCGGGTACGCAGTCGCGAACAGTTTCCACATGTAGAGCGTTCGTTTGCGACTGAGTTTACGCGGTGATTTAGCATGAATGTTATTTCCAATTTCCAGACGCGATAAGGTAGCTTACCTTCTTCCAAGACAGTCCCACAGATAACTAGCAATGGGCCACGGTATGCTGGCAAACAATTGTGGCGTCAGATTCCTTTGGTCCGATAAAGCTTGCCTCATTGCGGAGTGCTTCAGCGTGGGCGCCCCAGTTCCATTTGTTTCCTCCCAACCCCTGGGCAGAAAGGGTGTCTCATGGACCCAAGACGGACCTTGCGAGTTGGCCCCTGCTCGAGTCGAGGTCCTCTCTGAGTAGACCTGGCCGGACCGCCGATCTACGCGGTTGGGAAGCATGGCCAATTGCAACAGCTATTAGAAGCTGCACAAGATGGGCAGGTTCTAGAGATTTGCTAGGGTACAACTGCTGTGGGATAAAGCTATGCATCCCTTCATTGTTTATGCATGCTGTTATGCTCCTGGCTCAAAAGAAGCGGGTGAGACCAGATTCTCTAGTCTCAAAACTCAAAGCATGGGTTCTCTGTCGACAGATTGTGTTTCAATGGCCCCTCGAATGCCTCACTGAAAAAGCAGTGGGTGTTCTGATATTCTGTGTAGAAGGTTGTCTATCTGCCTGAGGCTATCACTGATTTTATGTAATCTCAACTAATACATAACAAGTTTAGCTCGGTTTCTAAACGAGTGAAGATCCAAGGCAGTGAGAGGCCTATCGATCTATACGTCTCTCTCTCTCTCTCTCTCTCTCTCTCTCTCTCTCTCTCTCTCTCTCTACGTATCATTGAGATGGCCGAAACTGTTGTAAGCCAACTAGTTTAAAAGTTCCGTATATACCCTTTCGAAATGCTTCATCGTGAGAAAAATATTACTGGGGTATAGAGCTATCCACTTTGTTTTCTCATCGAGATCAGTGCATGTATAACAAACCCTAAGCCTTGACTACCCATTCCAAGAAACGGGAGCTTCAAATGAAGCCTTCATTGTTAACAACAAGGCCGTTCTGGTACTGGAAAAGTTCTACTCTGGCTTCAAAATTGCTTCTGTCAACCACATAGACGCAATCCAGGGAGGTCGCTAGAAGGCTGCCATGACCTTCGTTATCATAAACTCAAGTGAACATGCTGTAGTCATCGGAGATTCTCATAATGTCCTCTTGAAGCCTGACCACGACCATCCTCCCCTCTCCATAGAGCAACGGCATCGTAACACCGAATATCCCTCGTATACAGCTAGGTATGCACGATCCTCAAGTCTCAACGTTCGTCTCGTCGACGCGCATGACATTCTTTGGGCGACACGAACGCTGTCAGAGTCACTCATTCCAGTGAGGATTCTGAAGGAAATGCGCAGTATAAAGAGAGATCGCCTGTTGCAATTGTTTCTTAGTTCCTAGATTTCCTCCAATCTCTGTCTAGAATATGACTTCTGGTGGAACAATAAGCTCTTGTAAAAGTTCAGCCTCTTGTGAACCACTCACTGCTTGTGATACTAGTTTGTTGGCACCTCAACGATCAACCAACTAGACGTGGCTACACATATATAACTTCTACTACAACGCGTCTCACACCATTGCCTCAGAGGGCTCTGTCCGAGGAGCATCTTTTGGGAGACATGTGAGCTTTTGAGTATTGTTACTAAGTGATAGCATGCTAACTCATTGGGCTGGAGGTCAGACTCGGCTTGAAACCCTCCTCTATAGAATCATCATAACAGTGCCCTCACTCTATAACCCAGCATTGGAAGATTGATTCTTGGAGGTGGTGGCCAGAACGAGGCATAGCAAGAACGAAGTAGCGAGGGCGTCTGATCTACTTTAAGAATGCCATGTGATTTTAACGTTGCTGGAGTGCTGCAATGTTGAGAATAGTACCTTAAGCAAGTGTCGCTGCATATGAATTTCAATTGCAGATTTGTTTATAGAAATGAATTAGAAGCATGTAAAATATGCGATCCAACTAAGCCCGTGTCCTGTCCGACTCCATGCAAATGAATGTTGTCAAGAAAACCATAGGAAACAAACCCAGCACTCGGGAAGAAAGTCATGAAAGTTTTGAAAATCGAGCAAGAACAGAAAAAGAGAAAAAGAAAAGTATTTCCGCGTAAAATGTCAGTACTATCCCGATGCCAAGTCCGTGCCTAAAGAACCATCCATAAGCCCAAATATTTACATCACATAAAGCAGGTTCACATCTATGCCCAGTCAGAATGAAATTATGATAGATCGCATCTATTCGACTTACCCAATGGGTGACTGCAGCTGAGCTGCGGCTTCTGTGTATACTTGGTCGACAGTTCGTCCCGAATGCTGTTGAGAAGCTGCACATAGCTTTGCTGGGGGTTCTTGCGGAGGGCGGTGATGAAGGCCCATGACATTGCACCGGTGGCTTGTCCCTGAATCTGAGCATCCTGGCTGGTCTGGTCGTCCTTGCTGCCTGACCACATGATGACGTCTGCTCCGCTCGTCTTGGTCTGCTTGTTGCGCTCGTACACCTCGTCGCCCTTGGCTGCCTTCTTGAGGAAGCCAACAGCTGTCGAGACCATGCTGCCCATATCGCCGCGTGCGTACGCCGACACCACTCCCAGCAGGCCCTGTCCTGCTTCCTTGGCCAAATTGGGCTCCTTGAGGATACCTTGTGTCGAGTAGATATACGGTAAATCCAACGCGGAGCCTGAGTGGCACGAATCGAAGATGGCCGTCAATCGCACGCCCGGCTGCAAGGGATTGACCATTATCCGGTGCATCTCATCGTCAACAATATGGCCAGCCTGCCGGAAATCAACGGGGTAGATGACTTCGTCGTATCCGTCGTCTTCATCACCATCCAGATCGGGTGTCTGGCCACCATGGCCTGCTCCTAGTCAGACTGCAGGCTGAGAAAGCAAATATCCACCACAGACTTACCGGAATAATGGAAAAAGAGGGAGTCGTTAGGTTTGGCGTCTTTGACTAGCCAATGCATGGCCCGCAGAATATTGGCCTTCGTTGGCTGGCTCTTTGGGTTTTGTTGGTCGTCCGTCAGAAGCACCATGTTGTCACGAGGGTAACCGAAGTTCTCGTGCAAGTACGTTGACATGTTCTTGACATCATTAATACATCCGCGCAGCTGACCCTTCTGATTGAAGTAATTGATACCAATCAGCAAAGCCTTTCTCGTGCCGGTGCATCGTGAGTATTGGTAAGCGTATTCTTGGGGAGCGCCATGACCGAAGGAGACCGGTTCGTTGGGCGGACGGGCTGGAGCACCATGGCCGCCTTGATTGTAGTGGTTCTGGTAGGCTATTGCGCAGTCAGAATACCAAGCCATCAAGCTTTGGGGAAAAGGCATCACGCAAGGGCAGACATACTAGGTTGTTGTTGTTGTTGCTGTTGTTGTTGTTGATACATATGGCCTCCGCCGGGAGGGCCGTAATTCTGCTGTGGGCTCTAAAGAACCATGTCAACCATTTACATCCACAAAAGAAGAATATATGAATAAAAGAAGACGAAAGAAAAGGAGTGGAAACGCCGGACGTCATCGTAGTTAACATACGTTATAACCATTGTGCGAGCCGTATGGTTGAGGAGATGGTTGGCCATATCCATATGCGTTGCTAGGTTGTTGCTGGCGATAGGCCTGACCGGGATAGCCGCCGCCGTAAGACGACTGTTGATGATGCATGGGTCTGAATGAAAGTTAGTACCAGCAAGCCCAGAGTAAGCGATATCGAAAGCAGCGGAAGGATAAACACGCAAAGTACTAAGGTAGCCTTACTGAGGAGGGGCGCCGTAGTTGGGCGGCGGATATTGATATTGCTGCTGCGGGGGGTAGCCGGGAGCTCCCGAGTAAGGGGGATAGTAGGACATTCCTGGCGGGGTCGTGATAAGTCTCAGATATAAAAGACGACAGCAAGAGTCTGGAAGCGAGACGTAAGACGATAGAGGGGCGTGAAGCTGTGGTGGTGGATGAACGAAAGAGCGACCGAAGAACGATGCAGCCTACAAATCGCCGAGATCATGTGGAGAAGGAAACACGCACTGATTGGGAGCAGGTGTGGATTATCCAAGCAAAAAAGGCGGCGGAAATATCTTTTAGTTATCGAAAATTATCTTCAATTAATAAACAAAAAAAAAAGGTCCTTAATTGTACTGTAAGGGACAAAGAACAACAAGAATAAAGAGAAAAGAGAAAAAGGTAGGAGAGAGACAGAGAGAGAATAGCACATCAACAGACGTGAAAATTGATATATCCGCAGATCATCTACAACTTTGCTGCATACCGTCGGCTACTCCGAGATTCCCCCCTGTAGACTTAGACTAATACGTACTGGATAGTAAGGAAAAGTGGCTCGCACGCACCATCTTTCAGCCAGCCAAGGGCATCCTCCAGGTCACATTCCCTCATTCAGCCAAGTTCCTAAGCATTCGGCTCGGAGTTCCTCGGTATCTTATCATTATACCCTCCTTTTTCATTACCTCCTTGCTCAGCCTTACTGAGCCTCACAGCACAGTGGGTCAATGTCGTCAACTTTGTTTACTCTGCTTGAGCATCCGAAAGCCATCCATCATGATGACTTGCAGCTGGTCCAGAATAGGTATAGGATCCATGTACTTGGTAGTTTCTTTCTTTCTTTCTT